TATTAAATCAAACTATTAGTTTTGCAAAATATGTATGTATGTATATATGTATGTATGCATGTCTATATGATTTAATACAATTTGTACAGTTAAGAGGCTTAAATACTAAATTAACGAACTTATACCTTAAAGGCCTTGAATGTAACTATAAATACTATTCTTTCTTTCACTGAAACTTGGCTGAAACCTCTCATTTTCAATTCAGAGATTCTTCCAAATAATTACCATATCTATAGACCAGATAGGGAGGACAGAATCGGCGGTGGTGTACTCTTCGCTGTAGACTCTTCAATACCATCTGAAGAAGTTAGTCTTCCACACATTGATTCAGTAGAATTCAAATGCATTCGTGTACAGGCTGGAAAAGGGTCTATTTACTTAGCTCTATGCTATATCCCTCCCCGATCTGACACATTTGTGTATTCACGACTCATCTCTTTACTGAAATCAGTTAATTTACTGACTAAACCCTCTGATTCAATGATTGTGTTGGGTGATTTTAATTTACCAAGCATATCATGGGACATCATTGACAATGATATCGTACCTTTCGCGTCTAGTGCGTGCAACAACGTATTTTTAGAGGAGATGGCTGAATTCTGCCTAACTCAGGTTAATGTATGTACTTCACAATAAGTTTGGTAAAGTATTCGATCTTTTTTATGTTGATGATGCATCTAAGTCCGTTGTAAATAAGTGTGATCCACTAGTTTTGCCCGAAGATGTCTACCACCCTGCTATGGAGATATCTTACGAAGTTTATAAGTGATGGTCAAAATTGCAAAATTTCGAAAGCCTTCTTTAAAAAGCTTAACAAAGAACTGTCTAAATTGTCGTGGCCTGCATATAAAGTGCATATAAAGATAAAAATTAACAAAGCGTTGCACTTTTTAACTTTACTTTACATAAATTATTTGAACAGCATGTGCCTAAACGCATGTATGTTTCTGAAGAACAAACACAGTTATGGTTCACTAAAGAACTGAGAAATTTGAAAAACAGAAAGTCACGTTATTTTAGATTACACAAAAAAACCGGTTTACACTCATACTATGTAAAATACTCACTTTTGCGTCATAAGTTTTTTGAATTAAACAAAAAGTGTTATAAAGCTTACTTTTACCCAAACTATTTTATTAGTTCGTAAACTCCAAGCGAAATGTACGTGGGTTTCCTTCCACCATGAAGTATCAACATACCGTCTCTAGTGATAATCAAACCATTTCTAACATGTTCGCTCGGTTTTTTAAAAAAATTATTATTTCAACTCACATGCTAACATTGACTATCCTTTTAAACTATGCCCAATGAACTCAATAAATATCCCAGTAATATCTCCCGATGATGTAGTAGTTTATCTGAAATCCTTAAAGCAGTCCTTCAGTTATGGTCCTGACCAGATCCCTACTTGTATTCTTATAAATTGTTCTGATTATCTCTATGAGCCGTTAACAGCGTTATTTAATTTATCTCTTAAAGAGGGCGTTTTTCCAACTATATGAAAGGAATCATTCATCACATAAAAGCGGTAGCAGATCTTCAGTGGAGAACTACCGGGGAATAGCTAAGCTTTCTGCAATTCCTAAATTATTTGAAGCAATTATAACAAACCAGTTGACGCATTCTATCTCTTATAGCATTTGATATAGTCAACATGGATTTTGCAAGGGCAAATCAACTTCTACAAACTTACTTGAATTAACATCCTATATCTCAAAAGCATTTAGTGAAAGCAAAACTGTTGATGCTATATATACTGACTTCAGTAAAGCATTTGACAAAGTGTGCCATTCGTTGCTCATCTATAAACTTGATCTTCTTGGTCTTCCACCTAATTTTCTACGTTGGATCTCTTCATACCTCTATGATAGATCACAAAGGGTAATGTTCAATAATACTATCTCTGACGTCATTGATGTTACTTCAGGAGTCCCTCAAGGTAGCCTCCTAGGCCCGGTTCTGTTCTTGCTTTTTTTTATAAATGATATTTCTACAGATATACAATTTTCCAAAATTTTAATGTATGCAGATGATGTAAAGCTTTATAAATCGTACGTTTCAATTAAAGAAAGGTCTTTGCTACAATCAGACTTAGACAGCATGGCTTACTGGTGTAAAGTAAATCTTATGCCTCTAAATCTTAAGAAATGTAAAGTAATGTGCTTCTCGCGAAGAGCTGTTCATCCCTCTTCTTATACGATAGGTAACCATAACCTGGAAAAGGTATACAATTTTGTGAACCTTGGTATCACAATGGATCCTAAGCTTAATTTTAATCTTCATATTAATGTGACAGTCAACAAGGCTTAAGGTATACTTGCATTTGTGAAACGATTGTCAAAAGAATTTTGTGACCTAAAACCCTGTTTACAACATTAGTTAGGTCAATTCTGGAATCGGTTCGGTGGTTTGGAGTCCAAGGTATCAAATTTACTCAGACAAGATAGAATCAATTCAAAAACAATTCCTACTTTTTGCTTTAAGAAATTTCCGTTGGGATTCTCAATATAACCTTCCGCTTTATTCGAGCCAGGCGCAGGCAAATGCTTGGTACAATTTTTATAGTTAAATTACTAACAGGCTCAATTTCAAGTCCATTTCTTCTGGGTGAAGTTAGCCTTAATGTTCCCTCCCGGGTATCAAGACACTTTTGTCCCCTTTTTTCTGAAAGCTTGTAAAACTAATTTTGAATTGCACGACCCACTCCGTTGCTTATGTCAGGATTTTAACTCTCATTCCAGCACGTTTGATATATCAGATCCGTTTTTCATCATTAAGAAATCTCTCATCATCAAATCAAATGAATTATTAAAATAAAGACATAAAATCGGCTGATGAATCTAGTTCTGTAGCTGAACAGTTTTAGATCTCGATACTTAACAAACTCCTGCTTATCGTGACTCGGCGAAAAAATTTAAAATACTGGTTCCGTACGTCATGTGGACTGCGCCCCTCGTGAGGATGGGCGGGAATGGAGGGTAAAAACCATTGGAATTATTATTATTATTATAAGTGTTCGATTTTAATTGCTTGGGATTTACTAAAAATCTACATTGTAATACTTCCTAAGCATAGGCAAAAATGTGGTAGATAGATCTCAGTTTTAAGATAGTTTCTTATTTGGGAGGTTCCATGGGAAACTGAACCCCAGTGTAAAAATTATTTTCTTTATAAAACTAACAAACATGTGGATATGATATTTGTAAAAATCTTGAATCAACCAAAAAATGACAAATTTAAGCTTTAAATGCATTTTTATTCCTTTTTTTTAGTTTTCAAATCAAGTTCTAAGTAAATATTTTTAGTAAATTTAAAGTAGGTTTTGTTGAAAGCATTGTCAATTAATTTGCGTTTCATAATTCAAGTGGTTTGTAGAAAAATATAAGTAGAACTCATCTAATTTTAATAAAATTTTATTATATATTAAATTGTGTGAGCGCTTTATCTATATTAAGCGGTATTGGTCATGTCCCTCCCGTGACAAAAAAATCTAAAAGTTGTTATATTTAATTACAGAAGTTGAAGTTGCGTTACGAGTTTGTTACATAATGTTAGAAATTAATTGAAAATGTATAGCACAACTGCATTTTCGTTTTCACACAGTTAGATAAGAATAATTCAACATTGAAGCATGTCCCACCCGTGATAGCTAGGGCTAGGACAGTTGTGAAAGGTGGGTTACAGGGATGATAAGTTTTATTAGCTTGTTGAGGTGGACGCTGGGGAGGAGAGGGAAACGCGGATTAAGTTAAGTAAGATTTTGACCAGTTTTGGGTTTTTCTTTTGTTTATTTAATGCTTATAATTTTTTTTTTTTTTATAAAAGCATAGCACATTGCATAATCAGAACCACATAAATCCACATTTAAAACGTCGTACAAAAGTTATAAAAATTCAAATATTTTTTAATAACTAATCTTTATATATGGACTAGAAGCTTCTTTTCATATAAACAAACGTGACAAACGTTTTCCGCGAAACCGAGATGGTGGAGTCGCCCATTTATTTTTCTTTTTGTCTATATTACGAAACAAAATATAATTCAATTAATAATGGAATTGCATTATTAGGGCCAATTTAAATATTTTATGATCGAAAAATTTAACCTAAAACTAACGACTATAATATGATCGAAAAATCAAAAATAGCGATCAAAAATTTAACGGAAAGATATACATTCAAAAATTAACGATATTATTCTTGCTCAAAAAAATATATGTATATGTATTAATGGCGGATTTCCACTGGAGATTAATTGACAAAAAACAAAAAAAAAAAAACAAAATTATGACAAATTCGGACATCCAAAAAACCGGTGTTTACGTTAAAAATTAAAGTCATTAAGAGCCATTTTCTTAAGCAGGTTTTAAAATTTATCTACACTTTAAGTAAACAGAAATTATGCACTGTAAAACATATTTGAAGTGCAGATACATTTTAAAACCTACTTAAAAAAATGGCAATAAGTCTGTTTCCAAATAATATTTGTCGAATGGTAAAACTTTTTTCTTCATTTCAATGCATAGTGGCAGAATGAACAATTCTGCCTTTTCAATGTCCAATGGAAATGCAGTATAACGCATACTGAGATTGCACGCCTAGATAAGATATGAATTTTGACTCCAAAAAGGAAAAAAAAAATAATAACTTTGCAAAAAAAAAATTTTTTATTTGATAAACACATGTCTCATAACTATTATTAGAACTCAATAATGGGTTTTTAATTTGTTGCTTTCATTTTTTTATGCCATTTTAAATAAACTAATGGCGTTTTCTGGCGAAAAATATTGCCTTCTCAGTGCTTTCTACGCGCAAATACTAAGGAGAGGGCAATGAAAAGGCAACATTTTTTGTAGAAAACAAAACGCCATAAATTTTCGCCCTTATAAAAGCTGTATGATGCTCGCAAACTTGCACTACTTGCTTCTCCTATATCGATCGCAAACATAAAAAATATCTTCCTTTCTTGTCGGTCGCTATACATTTTGCACACATCGCAAAATGAAATTCATCAGTACGTACATACATACATACATACATATGAGGAACATTCTTGTGAAACAAACCGAATCGCATAATTTTTGTTTGTTTTTCATTTACTGACTCTCGTTTCTCTTCTATTTCAACCATTTAATTACAGTTACTTGTTTCGTGTTCCTCGTGGCTATATCTGTAGCAAAAGTTTCCGCCGATGCTGGGCGTTCGGCTTGCCGTAATCCTGTGGAAATCGGTCAAACTTACCAACATCACTTCGATCCGGCCAAGTATTGGTATTGTGAAACATTGGGGGTGGCTGCAATTGAGAAGGATTGCCCTAATGGCATGGCCTATATGCACCTGCTAAAAGAATGCATCCCATGGGCCAACTGGCAGTGGAAAAAGCTGCAAAATCCACCAACTTTAGCGTAAATGTGAAACAAAGCAGAGGACAATAGAATGTTGAGCATGTGCCTGCAGAAGTAAAATGAAATCATCAGCTATAAAATAAAAAATTCAATTTTATGCACACGATAAAATTTGTACATATATTCGTGGGCGGTTGCTTGAGTGTAATATATGTATGTATGTGTATACACCCAGCAATTTTCATATTTTCTATTTTTTTGTTATAGTTTTATATGTTCATGCCTTAACAAAAACCGTATAAAGCAAAGTTTCAAACCTTATACATGATTTAAAAAAAATGCACAAATTTTTATAAAAATTTTGAGCATTCTAATCACAATTTTTATAAAAAATTTTTGTGCAGTTACAGTTACATACAAGGCTTATAAAATTATAATAAAAAAAGTGCAAGATTTCAGCCTCTAAAAATGGCAATGAATTAAAATTTTATTTACCATTTTTTCCGTCCTCCCTCATAAGCCTTGTATCCGCATACCCAAAAATTTTATAAAAAATCTGATTAAAAAGCTCAAAATTCTGATGTAAATTTATGGACTTTTTCTAAATTTGAAACCTTAATATATTTATGTATTATGTGTGTTTTCGTTAAGCGTGAACAATATTTTTATAAAAACAAGTAATTTTTAAGCAAAAAACAACACCGACTTCAATTCTCATATAAAAATTTAATAGTATCGTTAATTTCTTCATGACCCAATGAGTGGATCTATACCAAATTAGTATGGGACCACGCTTGAGGCAACACCTTTCCTATAACAAAATCGGAATCGGTCTGGACCCCCAAAAGTTATGCGGTAACATATGTACATAAAAAAATAAATATATTATTAAAACATATTTTTTTGAAGTCGGTTAAAAACCACAAACATTTTTTATTTGAAAAACATTTTAAATATGACCATGTACTCAGTTTTGCTCGGAAATGTACTTATGTATGTATTTATGATGTACATGGATCAAAAGCAAGAAAATAGCGGTTGTTATATAATTTACGTGTCAATAACAGCTCTTGACGAATATTTTCTTTTATAAATACGAGTTTAGTTTAACTCGAATGCATCTACTAGGGCAGTCCCAAAAGCACCTGGTCAGACTTATAAGTACAAGTAATTTAAAACAAATAATAACTGTGATCGAGAATTACGAAATTCTTAAACATCCCTGGACACCGAATGCTACTTTTAAGTATCCGCCTTCGACCAAACCTTACTTTGAGATTTCAATTATCATTTGTTGAAATGTGTCAAATATAATTTTATATATTTTAAATTTTAATGTCATGCTAATATTTAAATTAGTATTAGTGGTATTCATCTAAACCGATAACTTTATCAAGCAGATATTCTTATAAATTTAAGAGCTGTTACATGAGTGCCCAATACCATCGTACAGTTCCATAAGTAACGTAACTCTTCTTTTTACCGTTTTTTCTGGCAGGCTGTAGTTGGGTTTTTGGTTAGAATGTTGGTGTTTTTGGTTCAGTGTGTTAGTGTATTTTGAATAAATTGTAATAGAAATAAATGGCATTGTCATAGAAATGAAAGAAATTGTAAAAGACAAGGGCAAATGCCAAAAAACAGGTAATCTCAGCTGTAGGGAATCAGCCGATTGTGCCTTTTCTTGTACAATGCTCAATATTCTCTTTTCGTTTACATTTGCGACAGAGTTGTCTTGGCTTTAGTTTGTCAAGATTATTCAGTGAAATCGTTGGAGAAATTTATCAAAAATATGTAAACGAGTTTCCTTACAAATTTTGACAATTGATTTAAGTTTACACGATTATAAGTTTATACGCTTTATATTGTTTATTTATAGGCGTTTTTTCAATGTACCTACGGCGCATAGTCCAACAATATTCCTAAACCGATTTATATAGGCGTAACACTTCCTATGACACTTGCATCCAGTGGACGCTCCTTAAGCATAAATCATAATTACGAAGTAAACTGTGGAACAAAAATTAAATAGTTTAGCTTTACTTAACATCCACGGAGATATGCATAGAAGTTACGAACAAGAAAATATTGAATACAATTTTTTCTTTTTAAGACGAAGCAGTAGAGAAATGTTATTTCTAATTTTCTCAAAAGCTGTAAGCAAGCACTCGAATTTATAAAAAATAAAATAAAATAAAGGCATATTTAGTGGAACTAATTATATTGAAAAAACACATTTTATTTTATCGTCGGGTACTTCTGGCACCGCCCTCATATACATATACACTTGTACTTACAGTTGGTCTCAAAAATTATAAGTTAAATATTTCAGCTGAAAGCTGTTAAAATTTATTATTCACCTTATGAAAGCGAACAAAATGTACATTAGGCTGGTCCTTAAAATCAAATGAACGATTTTCTTTTTCAGTTTTATCCGCTTAATCGGTAATACCATAGTCGAAGATATCACATATATATTTTGTTCCCAATTGGAGTCGGTTAAGGCGTGACGCCAGATGCCTCTATGGACTCAAAACATTAAAAATATTTTTTGTAACTTAATGTCCATAATCGATACTACTAAAATATCAGGAGGATATCACATTCAAATTTTGGTCACGATTGGAGTCGGTTAAGACGTCTTCATAGTGTAATCTGAACTTTGACCCTTTTGCGACATGCTTTAACCGACTTCAATCTGGACCAAAATTTATATGTGATATCCTCGACTATGGTAGTATCGATTTTGGGTATTAGATGGAAAAAAAATTTATCTTAATTTTTTGAGTTTCCATAGAGGATGCTGAACTTTGACCAAAATTTTTATCTGATATCTTCGACTATAGTAGCATCGACGTAGGGGATGAGGGTTAGGAAATCTGATGTAAAAATTTGCTTCCTACATTTCACGATCCCCCTAATGTACATGCATACAACTGCAAAACAGTGTTGCCAGGTTTTTGACATGGAAAAACGTCCCACTCAGTCTAAAAACGTCTTCTGTACGCAAAACCGTTACACTTCGAATAATTGATTAAGCTTTTAACATCCCAATACAGATGTACATATATATGTATGAAGGGCCGGTGCACAATGTGACTGCAGCGGCCAAAGCTAATAAAAACGGACTTGTGAGCTCTCGAACCAAATGACCCAAATCAAAGGGAATTTTTGATAAGAATGCATATTTACAGTCATGGGACGAACATTAATTAGCCACAGTGCACTGCGCTCTAAATGACTGTTTTTCTGACCAAAACTAATAGCGGGGGCATTCCTGACAGCCGGGACATTTAAACTCGTTTTTTGCTCAATCTTTAAATTATTTCTATTTATTACTTTGAGAAGTTTCAAAATGTTAACACTTGAAGCCAGATATCAGACTACTGCGAAACTGATAAAGTATGCATAAAACTAAATTGTATGATTTGCACAGAAAATGGATGACACCCGCCTCTCTCGAGTTGATGGAACTGTTTCCCAATTTTTGACAAACTATAAATATTTCGTTCATAGCGCCTTTCTCGTATGCAGCGAAAAGAATGGGAAAAAAACTCTTTTAGCTTGTGACGGGTGAAACGAGTCACATAGTTCGTGAGTAAAATGAACTATACTTATTTAAATATTTATTATAGCTTTAATAAAGGGACCTTATTTAAACAATGGGAAGCTTACGGATTTGCAGGTCAGGTTAAAAAAAAAAACGCAAATTTTGCTGTGACGGGTGGGACATGCAATAAGCATTTCTTTTAAAGCCGACAACTTCACACCATAAATCAATTTTTGTAAGAACTCAGCACTGTTTCAAAGTCTCTCAGTATATAACACATTTTTGGATAATTATGATTTGCGTTGTCCCCTTCAACACTCGAGTAACGCTTTGACAACTTGATGAGAGAGAGATATAGTAGGATTATGGCTGCGTTTAAAACAGTAGAAATAGTGAAGAATAAATCGATAAAAATAGATTTCTAAAAAATTATTCGCTTACTTTACTGTTGCCACGGATTAAAATGCAACCTATGAAATTTATTTTTTTACTGCTTTTCTGGTTTCAGCATACATTCTGAATTTACCATTCCTACACCCAAGAGCTGTGGGCGTGGCATTGCGTTGACTTTTACCATTATCCACATTTCTTCACGCCTAAGTGCATATACGAAATATTTCAGCAAATTTTTAATAAGGTTACTATTTTTAGAGGAGACGTTCCACCGTGCGATGTACCCTTTAGAAAAAAAGTGCCGGGTATTGTTCAATTTTCATTGAGTAACAAGATTTACTTTACGCTGCTTTCAATTCCTTCCACGAACTTTGTGTTATGGGCTCAAACGACTTAAAAGAGAAATAAAAAAATTCGCACCAAGTCATATGAGAAAGATATGGTACATGGTCGATGATATTTGATGAGCTTTGTTTTAAATTCCGTCATAATAGTGAACCGATGAGGAGCTGGGTTATCGTCAAGCAAAATCCAGTGATGTGATATTTATTTGTTTTCCATCTGTCCATTTGAAATGAGTTCATGACCCCGGTCGGTTTCGGTTCAACTTTTGTTCTCCATTCCGATACTAGTGTCGGTCTTACATGAAAACCTTGCATACCCAAATAATATACAAAGCGAACTCTTCAATATATGTTGCTACTGTTTTGAAGTTTAGTAATTAAAATTATCTCTCGAATTCATTTTATGTTTAAGGTTTGGTATTGCCAAAAAAAAAAAAATTATCCAAAAACACGTCAAATCAACAGGCAATAAAAATGGCAAAATTACGTTAAAAACGTCAACCTGGCAACACTGCTGTGAACATTTGCTTCCCAGCCATTGCAAGGGTCAACGATGACTAGCAATTTTCCATTGCATTGCTGCAAAGCACCAATGCGCTCATATTTGATTTCACTGCATTTTTGATTTTACTATCAATTAGTTTCGTGGATCACTAACAGGCGTCACCAAAGAGAGTGATTGAGTGAAGTCAATTTAAGTAATTGAAAATGCTGGTTTCGTTGAAATTTTAGCTGGCGGAGTTTTATAAAATCAGTCATTCCTCTTTGGTTTGAGTTACTTTGAAATTTTGAAATTTTTCGATGTTATTTAATACATATCTTTTACATATTTGGAGAAAAAAG